AGCCATAATAAAAGCTAAATGCAGTGCAACAAAATATTAGATTGTGCGACTTTTTTTTTGGCCAGGCAGTGTATATAATTCTATTTGAAGGCAATACTGATATATAAGTATGATGTTATGAAATACATAATCATATAAATCATGCACTGTTCTGTTGCAATTCCCAGATGCAGCCATGGCTTTTTACCCATTCCTTGACTTCACACTTTCTGGTATTGTTCATAATTTACCACCTGGTGTGGTCTTCTAGTTCACTGTGTGAAGAAGCAAGCCTTCTGTTTTGGCCTGCTTTTTCATTATCATTAGGATCTTTACAGGCTGGCATGCATATGTGCTTCTCGAGCATCCCATTCTAAAAACATGGGCGCTAATATGGTTCCCCCCTTTGCAGCTATAACAGCCTCTCCTCTTCTGGGAAGGCTTTCCATTAGATTTTGGAGTTTGGCTGTGGGGATTTGCCATTCGGCCACCAGAGCATTAGTGAGATCGTACACTGATGATGTGTGAGAAGGCCTTGCATGTAGTCACTGTTCCAATTTATCTCAAAGGAGTTCATTGGGGTTGAGGTCAGGGCTTTTTCCACACCAACATTGGCAAACCGTCTTTATGGACCTCACTTTGTGCACAGGGACATTGTCATGCTGGAACATGTTTGGACTAGGACCCTTAATTCCATTAAATGGAAATCTTAACACTACAGCATACAAAGATATTCTAGACAATTGTTTGCAACCAGTATTATGGCAACATCCTGAGGAAGGGCCACATACAGGTACGATGGTCACATGCTCACATACTTTTAGCCATATAGTGCACTGTATCATAACATAAAATAGTCACAATGCTAAAAGTTCTCTTATTATGAATAGTATTGCTTATGATGGTCTGCCTTTGCTTCCTTGAAAAATACATTTAAGATTAAATGATTAAGAGAATATTTGTCAAGCCCTTACTTAATATGGAGAATTATTTCCAATTTTGTATTCTGTAAGGTGGGTGATCTCGTCTTTTTGTTACGTAATTACAACATATCAAAACTACCAATTAAGCCATCCAATTTCTATAAACAAATGCTTTAATCTTGATGTATAATCATAATTTTAGTTGGAATAACCAAGATAAGGTCTAACCCTAAACCTGCTATTCCTAATAGAGTTATTATTCTTTTAAAGGGTTATATTAAGTCTGCCTCCTCACTGTTTGTTGCATAAAATTTGCTGGGAAATGTCATGAAAGAACACACCTGCGTGGTACAGATGGAGCTGTGGAGTAAGTTGGTAAAACAATAAGACACTCGGGTTTGGTTTGCTGAGAAATTATGCTAGTTAGTGTGAATAATGTGCGCGATAACCTTACATAGTGTACTAGTAAACTAGCCAGCAA